GTAACCATCTTTTCTTTTGTAGACAACAGCCATTGACCTTTCCATTTGAACATGTGGAGAACAGAGGTTACCACCCTCATGTCCCTATCAAACAATAGAAAATACAAATTTAAAAACATATTGAAATAGAGGGAGCTTAGAGAGGGACTACTTTGACAGATAGTGGATCCACCCACTTCAGGCCCGCCATGGTTGGGACTGAGGTATGAAATTTATGGTTATGGCACCTCTAAATGACCAGTAATTGCTCTCTCAGACTTAATATTTTAATTAAAAAAATTTTTTTTCTTCATTATGTTTTTTTAACTTTGACAAAATTAGAGGGGGATGGGGTTGCCCCTGGGCCCTCAATCAATCCATCACTGCCTATATTGGCCACAATACAATACACTAAAAAAATAAATGACTTAACAGAAATCAGAATAAATCCAGGCATGATCATTCTAAATGTACCAAAATACACTCTAAAATGGATAATAATATTATTAATCATGTTTATTTTTTATTAAAATTATAGGAGCAGGAATGTTTTCAGGAGGAGTTGAGGAGAGCACAGAGGAAGTTACTGAAGGCGACACGAGATAAGAGTTTCCTTTTGGATCGATTACTCCAGTATGAAAAAGCTGATGAAGATGATTCCGACTCTGATGCCACTGTTTCCTCATCAAATGGAAGTGATAATGAAGCTAACAGAGTAAGTGGGGGCAGGTGTGGTGTGGAATATGAGTGGCGGATTCAAGGGGTTGGTGGTTGGTGGGGGGGGGGGCAAGCCGGCAACGGAGAAAAAAGTGAAATAAGATACCAGAGATGAAACAACTTTTTGATTTATTATAATACAATATTACCATATACCAAGGTACTGTAATTTTTGTTTAAAGATAAACAAAAACCTACCATATTAAAAAAAAAAGTTTGCGAAATAAGGTATACAAAAAGTCTCGTCTTAGCCCTACATTTGGCTCCGTTTTTAATCTGCTGATGCAGTATCAAGACCATAAAAAGCAGCAGAAAGTAGGAATTCCAAGAGTAAAACAAGGGGTTCGTCTCACACCCCAACATACAAAGTCGTCCAGAAATCTTCTCAAACTCAAGAATCGTCTTATACGCCGATTGCTTTATACGCGAGAATATACATACTAATAATATTTTATATTTCACTAAAGAATGGCGAAGAAAAGAAAACTAGAAAGAAAAAGAAGTCAGCCATTGTGCCTCAATTAGCTAACTTACCTCATGGAGAGAGCATTGCAGGCAGCCTACCAACAACTGCTGGTAGCCAAGAGCTCCTGACAGTAAGTTGTATTGATACCATTTTTATCTTCTTTCCATCATATGTGACCTGATGCACATGATTAGGTGTGGGTCATATCAAAACCATTTTAACTACTGGTTTTTAGAAGATAATGATGTACTGGCTGCAAGGGTATACAGTATTTGTTTTCTTTAACTGTAAAAATACTTGGGATGTGTATGACTTTTCCTGTACATACATTACGGAATTATTAAATTCATAACGATACACTCTTTTTTTTTGTTACAGGGTCAGCATATCTCTGAGATGATTGGGAAGGCTTTTGCCGAGCAGACTAATCAAAACAAGCTAAGTAAGCGCAGTATGTCAAGCCGGGCACACACTGCAATGGTCGCTGGTCAGCGTGATTCCACTAAGAACACAATGTGATGAGGCATGCGCAATGGATCATCTTTAATGACAATCTTCGTCGTTCGCTCAGAGCGAGATGGATTTGTCAGCCGATGGTCGTGCCATTGTTGTGTGTGCTCACTTAATAATAAACGATGATATAGTAGTGCTGTAATCAGTTGTTGTATAGATCAATGATAATTATGTTGTAATGAAAGTATGGATTACCCTTAAAATTGATCAAATAGGTAACATTCCTTTTAACCTAAGTCTTTGTCTCGGGTTGTAAATGTGATATTGATGAAAAAATATAGTTTAGAATGCAAAAAATATCAAATTATGTTAAAAAATGTAATGATTATATTTTAAACAAAAATGTATTTCATAAATGTATTATTTTGTTGCCAAACAGCGCCCTCTGTCACACAGTCTACCGGTGCTAGTTTTCCTGCAGACTCTCAGTCATCGCCTCATTCTATTGGCCAAGTTTCTGATCGAACCAATTCATTGATGAAGCTATCACAGTCAGATGAAAAGACTTCAAAACCACCTCGTAAAAAAGCAAAAAGGTACCCAAACAATTGTATACTCTTTCTTAGGGCCAAATAAACATTTTGTGTCCTCTTTCATTCCATATGTTTTGGCTAATGGGATAGAATCTAAATTTTTCTTGTGGCAAACAATGTGATAATCCGTATGCTGCTTGCTTATATTTTTAAGATTTTTTGGGGTAAATTTGAGAGTGTTGTTTTAGGCCTTATAAATAAGTGCTGCATTCTGGAGCTTATTCAATTATTACTCCTTATTGCATGATACCAATGATTTTCTTATCTTTCAGAGATTCTGATAGGTTGAATAAGCTGACCAATCAGTCATCACCAAAGAGTACAGATGAAGCGTTAGAAACCAGTAACCTTGTCATTGACATTCCAGAATAGGAATTTGTATTTTATTTCCTAATTATACCCCATTCATCTCCCAAGTACATTAATTTTACAGTACTACACTGTACAATCAAAGTCTTCTATTAGTGCTGCCTCTCATAACATCTGTAGTGTTCATTAATAATACACTAGACAGGTACACATCATTTTGTGTACATCAATATATAATATTGCATATTTCTATTGAAGTCTGAATGATCTAAAAAATACCCAGTTTAACAAGGTCAATTGGGGTAATACAACTATAGCAGTGGTGGATTCAAGTGGGGGCCCAAAATTATTTTTAAAAATGGAGATAAAAAGAAAATTATATTTAATTTTAGCCTGAGAGTGCCATTTTCAGCCATCCAGAAACCTGCCATCCGTTAAAGTCCCTCCCTGGGCCCCGTCTATTTCAAATTACAGGATCCACCACATGTGTCATGTAAAATTACCACCCCTTATCTTATATTTACACTATCCTTTAGTTGCTAAGCATTTCTTAAAACCTAAGTGTACATTTAAACTCTTTTACATTTCTTTTATATACATCAAGTTTAAACATATTTATGTATACTATTGTAATATATATGTGTTGTAATTTTTGGTAACTATTTTATAGAAATTTGAAATAAATTTGCCAACCAAGTGAATGTTTAGTTAAAATGTTGATAAATATCCTGATTACTTTAATTCTCTATTTTACATACCCTTCCAATATTTCAAATATCAATTTCGGAACTCAGCTGCAAATATTGCTGTATAACCTAGTTATGTACAGATGGCTTCAGTCTAAACTAAAGCTACAACAGACTTTTACATGCGTGTTACTACAGATGAGTGTCCACACGATTTTTATCCAGGGCAAATGTTCTTTTTACGTCAATGCTACTTCAAAGCTTAAAAACAACTATGCAAATTTTCTGGATGTGATTGTCTCTCAACAGTTAATTTGCACACAATTTGTAAGCAGTTATGAAAACATTGTATCTACAAAAGTTAAATAACTTAATCAAAGAGTGTCTTCACGGGCACTACCCCCCCCCCCCCGGG